CCCCAAAAAGGATGGCAATATAAGGCCCATCCTCGATCTCAGGCACCTGAACCACGCCCTCATGAAACGGCTGTTCAGGATGATTACATTGAAACAGATCCTCTCGCAAGTGTGCCCAGGGGACTGGTTCTTTCCGCTGGATCTGAAAGACGCCTACTTTCAGACGATTCTTGAGATTCGCCTTTGAGGGAGTGGCATATCGATACACGGTCCTTCCCTTTGGACTGTCCCTAGCTCCTTGCATTTTTACGAAGTGCATGGATGCGGCTCTTTCCCCGCTGAGACAGATGGGAATCCGCATTCTGAGTTACCTCGACGACTGGCTCATCTTGGCCCAGTCGGAGGATGAGCTACTATTTCACAGATCCTTCCTCCTCAGCCAGTTAGAATGCCTGGGACTCAGGGTCAATTTTGCCAAGAGCGCGCTGTCCCCCAGCCAACAGATATCGTTCCTGGGAACAGTTCTCGACTCAGCCCGAATGAGGGTGGTAGTCGCGCCAGAACGTGCACTGGCTATTCAGCAACTCGTGGCCTCATTCAAGTTGGAGCCCTTCGCCCTCTCAAGGCATTTCAGAAGGTGCTGGGCCTCATGGCCTTTGCGTCTCCGGTACTTAAGCTGGGCCTGCTTCGCATGCGGTCCCTTCAGTGCTGGCTGAAACCACGAGTTCCATCCCACGCCTGGCGTCTCAGATGCCTTCATGTCAAGGTGGACTGGGCCTGCGTAGCAGCTCTGGCCCCTTGGAAAGACTCTCAGTGGAAGGAACGGGATGTGCCCCTGGGAATGGTCTGCAGAAGAAAGGTGGTCTCGACAGACGCTTCGAACACGGGTTGAGGAGCGCTGTGTGAGGGCAAACTGGCTTTCGGCCATTGGTCGAAAGAGGAGGGTCGGCCTCACATCAACTGCCTGGATATGCTGGCAGTATGTTGGGCCTTCGCACCTTTCTGCCAGACCTAAGGGGACACTACGTGTTAGTCCGCTCGGACAGCATGACAGTGGTGTCATATACAAATCGCCAGGGCGATCTCTCCTCGAAGCGCCTCTTCATTCTGGTAGAGCGCCTCCTGGAATAGGCTCAGCTTAACTTGCATTCACTAAGGGCAGTGCATGTGCCGGGCAGGTTGAACCAAGGAGCAGAAATGCTATCTCGGAGCAACGTCCTCTCAGAAGAGTGGATGCGTTACCAACATTTTTCAAAATACCTTACATACAGGTTTAGAACAACATGAGAATGAGTAAATAATGACAGAATTTAAATTTTGGGGCACACTATTCTTTTAAAATGCATTTATAAAGTAGATAGGGTGAATTTCTATTTTGTGCTAACTTTAAATGAATACCAGTTTTCCTGCTTTTAATCCCATTAAAAGACTGAAAAATAAAGCATTTGAAGTGTGTCTGTAAATTGAATGTAAAACACGCCTCCTAAAGGATGTTCCGACCACATTAATTTAATATAGTTTCTGTTAATCCATCCATAGCCTGAATAAATTATTTAAGCTCCTCCTTTTGAGGGAGAATCTCTGAAAGGAAGATTATCCAAAATCACCATAATGACTGACACTCACAAATCCTCTGACAAAGTCCTATAATGAGAGTTTGGTGAAGCCTCCTGTGTTCTTGATGTAAGTATTCAGCTGTTCAACTGAATTGTTTCACTCCATGCATTTTTAATATCTACCCTGTCACAGCTGGTTTTGATCAAGCACATGTGTTGTTATGTCACCTGCTGCTAAAGTGGAACAAATAGATTGCATTTAACATTGACATTTATATCGTTTGCTCTTGGGCTGGAATGCAAAACGGGTGATTGCTGCCCTCTCAGCTTTATCATTACCACATTCGCTCAGTGGTGATAATAACAAGTCAGCATTGCTGGCTCCTCTCCAGGAAGTGTGTGTGCACCATTTTATCTTTTGTATACTGTTAATACAGAACATTTCAAGTCTGGATGTTTGGTTGGTGTGTGGGATTTGTACTTGTAAATGCATCACTTTTAGCATGCTCCAAAATATCTACGTAATATTTATAAAACAGAAACTATATTACTTACAATTGTACGGTTCCAGAAGTAAAAGATCCCAAAATGGAACTTGATTTTTAGCACTGAAAATTAGAATCGTATTAACATTTTAAGGCCATATGATGAGGTGGTTAACCTAGTATTAGCTTCTGCAGAATAAATGTAATTTCATATTCATATTTAAAAATGTTTAAGTCCCTGAGAGAAACAATTCTTTTTTTAGAAGTTAATACTTTTATGTAGCAAAGATGCTTTAGAATTATCAAAAGTGAATGTGAAGACATTTGTATAATGTTACAAAAGATTCATATTTTAAATAAAAGCATTAAATCAGCATAATAGAATGATTTCTGAAGGATCATGTGAAACTGAAAACTGGAGTAATGAATAATGCTGAAAATTCAGCTTGCCATGACAGGAATAAATTGCATTTTAAAATATAATAAAATAGAAAACAGATATTTTGAATTGTATTAATACTTCACAATATTAATGGAATATTGATCAACTAATTACAGCCTTAGTAAGCATAAGAAACTTTTTTTCTTCATCTTGAATGTTTTTGGTGCACAAAACCTTGGCTAACATTTAGAAGTGGACTGCAGGGGGCAATAGCATAAAATGCTATAAAAGTGCTGCATACGGCACTGTTAAAGTGGCAAAATCATCTGCCCATTTGAACTTGACTTTAAAAACATTGCTCGGTTTGTTCAATTTGTTTCCCACAGCCTAATGTACAGACAAGTCCAGCAATTTTTCAGCTGCTCAGGCGGAGAGACTGAGTCATGCTGGCATTATTTTTTTCAGGCAACACATGAACGTCAGCGTGAGTAGTGTGAAGATGAATATATAAAACTGGACTCCATGACGTGGTTTGTTTCCCAACCTCATGAATACACATTGAAATTTTTTAAAACAAATGTAAAATCCTAATGATGCCTGCAGGAAGAATACAGGTGTATAATGTGAGCGAGCGTTTGGGACGTGGATGTGTTTAATTTCTGTGAGTCCAATCGGTTCATTACTGCAATTTGAGCTAAAAGTATCTGGAGGGAGGCAATTTTTCTCTGTGTAAGGGGAGAGATTGTGACCTACTGTGGTCTTTGCAGTGTGACAGCAGCTTGGGCACAAGAGGTGTTTGTACTTTAATGTATGTTGAAGCAGTGTTACAAAACCCCAGGGTTTTAATATTATATTTCAAGAAAAAAAAAAAAAAGTGACCATCAGTGATATTTTGAAAGTAATATAAAAATATGCTGAGTTCTATATATGCACTTTATATATGTACTCTACTGTTCAGAGGTTTTAGTTCTGTACGTTTTTTGTGTGTGTGTGTGTGTGTGTGTGTGTGTGTGTGTGTGTGTGTGTGTGTGTGTGTGTGTGTGTGTGTTAAATAAGTCTCTTAAAGGCTCCATTCATTTGATTAAAAATAATGTAAAATTGTGGAAATATTATTACATTTTAAAATAATTGTATTCCATTTTAATATTTTCAAATATATATTTTTTTTTCCTTTGATGGTAAAGATGAATAGCATCATTAATCCAGTCTTCAGTATCACATGATCCTTCAGAAATCATTCTAATATGTTGATTTGCTTCTCAAGAAATATTTATTATTATCAATCTTGAAAAGAGTTGTGCAGCTTAATATTTTAACCATGTAGCCATGATGCATTTTTCAGGATTCTTTAAAAAATAGAAAGTTCAAAAGAACAGCATTTATTTGAAACAGAAATCTTTTGTAACATTATAAATGTTTTTACTGTCAATTTGATAAATGAATGCATTTTGAATGCATCCTGGCTAAATTAAAGTAATAATTTCTTATTGATCCCAAATTTTTTGAACAGTAATATATGTTGAAACAGTCAAATAGTATATGAGAATATTAGGGCAAAACATCTGGCACACCAATTATAAGATTTATACGATTTTTTTTCTAGTCGAGTGTTTCAAATTGTTTTTGTTTTTCCATAGTGTGCCACTTTGATTTATTATTTATTCCTCATCAGTCAGCCCATTTGAAAGGTATAATCAAGCTAATTACTGATTACAGACTTCGCCCTTTTTTTTATTGTCTCTCATGTCATGTGAGGACAATGGGAATGGTAGTTTCTGCCCACACTATGGGATATGCTGGATTTAAGAATACTTTATCTACTAACAACTATTACTTGAAACGCAGATGGCTTGAATTGAATGGACTCCTCCATAATAATTATCCTAAAACTTGACTGATTCACAAAAAGACAGAAACTACTACAGTATTATTATAGTAGAGTGATTGTATCAGATGGAAATTACTTTACTTTGAGAAATCCCACAGTACTGCTTGTTTACAATGGTATTACCATGGCAACCGAAACTCTTTGGTTACTAACATTCTTCAAAATATCTTATTTTATGTTCCACAGAAGAAAGAAAGTCATTCAAGTTTGGAAAGACATGAGAGTGAGTAAATGATTTTGGGCTGACTATCTTTTTAATGGTAAATTTTTAGCAGTTAATATTAACCAATCAGAATCCAGTATCCAAGAGTGCAGTATAATAATGATCTCTAGTGTTGTGTCCCTGTGTGGACTAATAATGATCCTGACTGGCAGGTGAGAGCTGTTGGCGTTTGCTTGGTCACCTCTTCAGATGGATTTCCGTGACTATAGTTTCTCTGTGTGTGTGTGTGTGTGTGTGTGTGTGTGTGTGTGTGAGGGTCCAGCACTCTCTTGGGCCATTATCTCTTCAAATTATATGAAGGCTGTCTCGTTAGTCGTTCTTTTGGTGCTGCTCAGGTGCCGTGATGACCGAGTGCATTGAGTCCAAAAGCAGGGGACAAATCTCTGTCGAAAGAGCTTTAAAGTGATGCTCTGTGAAAATAAATTCTGCAGAGTTTTGGCTACATTTCACAAAAAGGACTACTTAAATTCTATGTATTTTGTTTAAATTGTGAATTGTGTCTAACAGAATATATTTATCCCTGCAGTCCATCCGTGAGGTGACGGGTTACGTGTTGGTGGCTCTGAATCAGTTCGACTATCTTCCTCTGGAGAACCTGCGGATCATCCGAGGCACTAAACTGTATGAAGGGCGATACGCCCTGGCCATCTTTCTCAACTACAGACGGGATGGCTACTTCGGCCTCAGACAACTCGGCCTCAAGAACCTGACAGGTATCTCTGTCTGTCTGTGTGCGTATGTTTCTCGCCAAACAAATTCACATCACACTTGGTTTTGTGCAGTAGACGTCTGATAGAAATATGCAGGAAAGAGCCTGTGGGCTGACAGCAGATAGGATGGATCAGGTAGCAGCACTTTTTTACTAAAATATATTGATCGGCTAATTATATGTTGTCTTCATGTAGATGATAATGTGCATTGGGCATTTTAAAAGTAATTTTTTTTTTTTCTCAGTTCAGTAAAATAATTGTTATTACGTACTATTTTTAATATTTTAATATCTTATTTTAAGCACTTTTATTTTTAACAAAAACCCAAAACTAAGTTAAAATATTTCTTAATAATAACAATAATAATAATAATAATAATAAATTAGATGAGAGGCAGACACACACACACACTATATACTGTATATATATCATATATATCACAATATGACTCAGTCAGGTCCAAAAGTATTCAGACACTGACTGAGTTTATGTGCTTTTGCCTTTAAACACCACTACAATGGATTTGAAATATCAAGATGTGATTGAAGTGCAGATTGTAGCTTTTATTTTAAGAGGTTCCACAAAAATATGACATTTACCATTTAGGAGTTACAGCCATTTTAAGCAAAGTACCTCCATTTTCAGGGGCTCAATAGTATTGGGACAGTTGACTAAGAAGAGGTTAATTGACCAGGTGCTGTCCATTCCCTTGTTACTTCAAGACAAATTAAGCAGATAAAAGATCTGGAGTTGATATGAGATATCAAATTGGCATTTGGAAGATGTTTGATTGGGTCTACCAATATGAAATCCAAGTAGATCTCGATGAAGGTGAAGGAGGCCATCATTAAGCTGAAAAAACAACATAAATCTATAAGAGAGATAGCAAAAAAACTTAGGTGTGGCCAGATCAACGGTTGGCTACATTCTTCAGAAGAAAGAAAGCACTGGTGAGCTCAACAATATCAAAAGGCCTGGAAGAGCACGGAAGACAACTAAAGTGGACAACTGCAGGGAAGACCTGGCAAATCATCTCCAGGGAGGAAACTCAGAATTTGGTGATGTCCATGGGCTCCAGACTACAGGCAGTCATTGACTGCAAAAGATTTTCATCCAAGTATTAAAATCGAGCTATTTACAATTATGTCACTTTGTCCAAATACTACTGAGCCCCTGAATATGGAGGTATTTTGCTTAAAATGGCTGTAAATCCTAAGTGGTGAATGTCATATTTTTGTGGAACCTCTTAAAGGGATAGTTCAACCCAAAAATTTAAATTCTGTCATTAATTACTCACCCTCATTTCATTCCAAACCTGTAAGACCTTCCTTCATCTTCGGAACACAAATTAAGATATTTTTGATGAATTCCGATAGCGCTTTTTTACCTATGTCCTTACTACTTTTCTGGACCTTGATCGTGTTAGGATCCTTGCTGTCTATGGGAGGGTCAGAGAGCTCTCGGAGTTCATCAGAAATATCTTCATTTGTGTTCTGAAGATGAACAAAGGTCTTACAGGTTTGGAACGACATGAGGGTAAGTAACTAATGACAGAATTGTTGTGTGAACTATCCCTTTAACGTAAAGCTAAAAGTCTGCACTTCAATCACATCTTGATTGTTTTATTTCAAATCCATTGTAGTGGTGTATAAAAAGTTTTGAGTCTGAGGGATCATGTGATACTGAAGACTGGAGCAATGATGTTGAAAATTCAGCTTTACCAACACAGGAATTAACTGCATTTTAAAATATTAAAATAGAAAATAGTTATATTAATATGTAAAACAAAAAAATAATAATTCACAATATTGCTGTATTTTTGATTAAATAAATGCAGCTTTGGTGAGTAAGAGAGACTTCTTTTACAAATTGTTTGCAGTTGCTGCACTCTTCTCCTCACTGAATAATACTAATTTAACCACGAGTTGTAATTATCTCTGGAATTAAATCTACATTAATTTCCAAATAAGGTTGTTTGTCATATTTTAGAGTGAAACTTCAAGGTTTCTTGAGAGTCAGCAGAAACTTATTATGTAGAGGCGGCTACATAACCCTTTGACCCCTTCAGAAAGGACAGGTTTGATTTGATGGTTAAGCTCACTAATAGGTGCTGTGTGTGAGAATAATGCTGTAGGCAAAGTGATTTTTTTAAAACTCCCTCCCCCTGCGCACACACACACTCACACACATAGTACTTCTAAGTATGTTTTCCCATGCCCAAGGCCCTTTTGTTGACCCAAAGGGGTTAAGGATGAGAGAGAAATAGAGATAGACAGCCATGAGTATAACCACCAGAAACGACTGCTACCCAGCCATGATGAATTTTTTATGTAATCTATACATTTGAGGTTTACTTACTTCGTTAAATTTGGATTTATTATTGGGCTAAGAGTCCGTTTTTACGGACTCTCAGCCAACAATGGCATCTGTAATTCCCTGTGTACTGCTTATGATTACATGATTAGTTATAACCTTCTAATATGAATGTGCTTAGAATTATTCCATTATTCCAGGGTTCCAGGTAGAGATGAAAGCGTGCATCTTGCTTTCTAAGACAGAGCACCCTGATGCTTAATGGATCCTTTGATATAAAATGCAGTTGTTGTCATGTTCGTCTCTCCCATGTTCTTACTCTCCTTCTCTTACAAAACCTATAACGGTTTTGCATCTACATAAATCATTCAAGCAAACCATTGAATCTTAAGGTTGCAAATAATTTTATTGTTAATAAATGTAATTACTTAATTTTGAAAATTTATTTATTTATAATGTTGATATATTATTTAATCAATTGTAATATATTTTTTTTAAATTTCATGTCATTTTAAACCATTCTTCTGTGGAACACACACACAAAAAAGTATCTTTTTTTGTCTATCCAATGAAAGTCAGTGGGATCCAATGTTGTTTCGATGCCAACATTCTTCAAAATGCCATAATTTGTGTTCTGCAGAAGAAAGAAATGCATACTGTACATGTTTGGCACAACATGAGTTAATAATAATAGAAAATATTGCCATATATATATATATATATATATGTATACTGTATTTCTTCAGGGTGTTACAAGACCTGTATGCAAGTTTTATTTTTGGGAAAACTGTTCTGATAACACATGGTTGTTTACCCAATAAATAAATGTGCATGAAATATTTATTTTGAAGTGAAATTGTTGTATTATTACAGAAGAAAGAGGCGTCTGAGAAACATGTTGTGGTCATCTTTATGGCGTTTTCAAGGTTCGTGCTCACGGATCAGAAATATTTGATCGTGGAATAAAGTCAAGTATTAAGTATTCTAGAGGTTTGTGTAATCATTTCTGACATTTACGCTAGAAAACAATAATAAAGAGGATGTATTCTATTCCTCCATGCCAGTATTTGCAGACCATCTGATGAATAGAGAGCTCTGACCACACACTACTCTCCTGCCAGTAGGTCTCAGTATGTACCATGAAAAGCAATTAGGCCAGAACTGTTAATGCATACAGATTAGAGTCCATATCAGATCAACTGATCCAGCCTGAATAATGGCAATAAAATCCCCATTTTTCAGCAAATCAGCAGAACTTAGATAGCAATTGCCTTTCTCCTGTGTTATAATTAAAGAATATCACAAGCTGAATTTGAAATAGATGTAGCCTGAGCCTCAGTAGTATCTATGACTGATTATCGTGAAATGATAGAGAGAGTTGTGTAAAGTACAGTTTGCATGTTTACCAAAGCTAAAATTTAGCAGGGATACAAATAAAAGGCTTTTTTCCCTTTACTGACATTTAGAAAACACATATCCACGGGCTTTCATTTTGTCCTCTTCTATCTTGTTGTTGTCTATTTTAAATCATGCCAAGCAGCTGAGAGCGGTCTAAAGAGAACATGTAATTTATCTCTCCATCTGCTGGCTGTGTGTTCACCCAAATGCTTGGTAAACAGCAGCGGCATTCGTTAGATCAATCCTCGTCACATTAAATTTCTTCTCAAATGAAACAATTTATGAATAAGAACATATAGAAAATGAGAGAAGGCAGTGGCGCAAAAACGGGGTATGCAGTATATGCAGTGCATAGGGGCGCCACACATGGGGGGGGGGGGGGGGGGCAAGGCCAGGCGCATCTCAAACAAGCCTATAGGCAATGGCACAAAAACGGGGTATGCAGTATGCAGTGCATTTTGCCAAAATCATTCTGTGAAAATCTTCTTTAATAAAACGTTATAAATAATCAAAAGTTTAGTTATTAAAAATAATTAATGCAACATTTTTATTGAACGTTTTTTTAATTAGTTCAAAAATGTATTTATTAAAAACTTATTAAGACGCGGAACGGCCGTTTCTTTTTGCGACCACAACAAACGGGAGACTTTTCAGACGCGCACTTCAGCTTGCCCTCAGCGTGTGAGTCAAACAAGTGTGGAAAAAGTACATTTGCCAAATGAGCTTTAGTAGAACAACAGGGAACTGCGGTCTGATGAGATATTGTTATATGTCAGTAAAACAAACTGTATTTTTTGTTTTGTTCAGCTGTTTTACTGTGCTCACGGCACACACTCTTCAACTGTATGCGAAAATGAGGCGCACGCTCACTTCATAAATAAACCACACTAGAAACTACGAGCATACATCGTCAGTTAAGTCACAATTACCAAAATGGTGATTAAAACTGCAAAACTGTGCATGCATGTATGTGTATTACATTTAAGAACATCTCTCAAATGCATGCAGCCTACTGAAATATTCTGCAATTCGAGATAACAATATGGCGCATCGGCGCAAGATGATGGGCCATGTATTTTTTTTTTATTTCCAATTTAATGCACAAGTAAGCCAAATGTGAGCACAGTGGAGTTAAATGTACTAGAAAATATGCGCCTTTTTTCGTTAATTTGTAAAGTACGAAAATGAAAAGAAAATGAAACCATATTTAAATGCATGAAAAAACTTATTTTACATTCTTACATTATTTTCCTTTGAAAATACAGAGCTCAATTTAGGTATGACAAAAGTGC